AATTGGTGCCCTATCTTTTTTTAATGTCGTTATAAACATGTGTTTAAACCTATTCCGTGGATTTCAATCAATTGCATTTATAATCCTTTTGGAAGCTCATATTGTCCCATTTTAGTTCAGTGGGAACCTCTTCAGGTTGGCTTCTGGAATCTTCTTGAATGACTTAGTAGTTGTAGATAGTGTCCTTCCTATCTAATATAACAAGAAGTTTCATACTTATCTTAAATATTTCCTGGCCAGGGTTTGGATTACAACTATAATCTGGGTGCTAGGTTGTTCATTACTCATTACTGCACTTCTGGTTTGGCCATTCTTCCCAGACCCCTTCAGTGGACAGAGCTAGGAAGACAGAAACACACACACTCATCCTGATTGCATATGTGTGTGTGTGTGTGTGTGTGTGTCCTGGGGACAACTTGTCCCTTAGTCTTGTTGTAAGTGTTGTCTATGCATCTTTGGCTTTGCCATCTACTTGTTATGTTTTATCACGTGCAGATTTGGAAAGATCAAAAAATCTTCCTGCCACCACTCCCTTCTTCCTAGAATCCTAGGATTTTTAATCAAAACTTTATGATGGGCACCTTTGAAAAAAAATTTAGGGTCAACTATCTGTGTTAATCATGAGCCAATTTGCATGGCAGTCAACTAGCGTTCCTCAGCACCCCAGCTGGTTGGAACCAAGAGGGTCACTCTGTTAGACTCTTCATATGTTGCTGATAAAAATTTTGAGATGAAAATTATCTTTTAGAAACTGGACCTTGCTCCCTTCTCTGTCTTTTCCATCACACTGCATTTCATTCCTTTAGTGATTGGCAAGACTCACATTGGCTGGCCTCTTACTACCCCCTTCATGTAGGCAGTTTATAAACACTAAAGAAAATCAACACTTGTGTTCCACAGAAAAGGTTACTTTGAGTGTTGGTTTATGTTATGTACTAGACTTGACTCTGAATATACTTTGGCTATTTCTAATATTCAATTCCACCCTCAACATCAGATTTGGCACCATTGAGAAAACGTTGCCAGGAAAGAGCTACAAGTCCTAAAGATAGTTCTCAAATAGGATTTGGGCATTCTGGAGTAGCTTTGCCCATGCTCACAATAATTCATATTTTTATCATAAAGAAGGGCAGTATTTTATTCCAGGTAAGATATACAAATAAAATCTTCTTTTGCAATGGCTCTGAGTCTCGCTGAATTTTGCAGCAGTAGGTGGAAGGATATTTAGCTGTCTTCCCAAAATAAGTGATCTGAACTAGACACATTCCTTTAGGATCCTGATTCACAGAGTAGAATATTGGAATTTAATGAATGGGTTCTACTTTATGATTGTGTTGAAACTTAATATATGGGTGACAATACATGCACCATTTGCACTCTGGTAATCTTTTGAAAGCTTGATGCTTTTAGAACAACATCTGTTTCTCTTGTAGTCTAGCTCTGTAGTTCTCAACCCTGGCTTGCCCATGGAATCACCCACATTTTAAAAAATACTGATGGCCTGGCACTGGCCCAGTGGTATAGTGGTTAAGTTCATGCATTCCACTTTGGTGGCCCACGGGTTCAAGGGTTCAGATCCTAGGTGCGGACCTACACATCGCTCATCAAGCCATGCTGTGGTGACATCCAACATAAAAAATAGAGGAAGATTGGCACAGATGTTAGCTCAGGGCCAGTCTTCCTCTCCAAAAAAAAATCAAAAACAAAAAACCCCAATACTGTTGTCCTGTATCCAGCTCCAATTTTCTCATTTAATAGATTTGGGCGTGGGCCCCAGCATCCTAGTTTTTTTTAACACTCACCTGGCGTTTTTAATGTACAGCCTTGCCCTGTGTAGTTAATTCATAAACCTCTGATTTCCATTATTAAGTTTAACTGGTTCCCATTAACATGAATACTGGGACTATTTCCTTTAAAACATAAAGTTAAAAAGAAACCAATACCAACCACCAAAGCTAAATAATTACATAAATTAAGGCCAGTTCTATTGAGACTGACATAAATGTATAAATTCAGCCAAAAGAACAAAACAGATTAAAGCCACAGACCCAGAACTTGAACTAGGATCCCTAATGGAGATTAATATTTTCTTCAGCAGTCTGCCAGCTGAATCACGGTCTAATTAAATAGTTCAGATTTAGTGAGTTTGCATTTAAAGTATTAGCAGATCCGAGAATGGGTAAAGCTAAAATGAGTTAGAATCTTTTCTGTAAATGGGAAGTTAAATTATCATAGTAATTTGATTAAATCATTTTTAAATCTCTCAAGCTAAATCACAGCCTTTAAAGAATAGTTTGAAGTCTTAATTGCTGTTTGTGAGCATATCTCTCTGCTATTTGTTCTCGCCTCATTTCCTGTGACATCCTACAATATATCTCCTGCCCGGCAGCAGTAGTGGGGAAGGGCAAGACTTGGGGTGGGGGCTGAGGTGGCTGAGCAGCCGACTTCAAGCGTTTAAAGATCTGCCATGGAGAAGAAGGACATTTACCCTGTATCGGTCCAGTACTTAGAACCAGGACCAAAGGATGGAAGTTGGAGACAGGTTTGAGAAAAGAAGAAGATGACATTTCTAGTTGTTCTGTCCCTTGTGAAACAGAATGTTCTGCATACAACTGGATATGTCTTCATTAGAAATGTTGAAGTTGGAAGTTTAAATGAGATGAGCTCAGAGGATAATTTCAACTTTTTTTTTTTTTGGTGAGGAAGATTAACCCTGAGCTAACATCCGCCACCAATTCTTCTCTTTTTGCTGAGGAATATTGGCCCTGAGCTAACATCTGTGCCCATCTTCTTCTATTTTATATGTGGGATGCTTGCCACAGCATGGCTTGATAAGCAGTGCTTAGGTCTACACCCAGGATCAGAACCAGCGAACCCTGGGCCATCAAAGTGGAGTGCAGAAACTTAACCACTAAGCCACCAGGCCAGCCCTTCAACTCAGTGTTTTTTTAAAAAAAGGAAATGCCATGTCCAGTGTTAGAAATTCTAGCAGCATAATTTGATTCAAGGAAACCTGAGTTTAAGCCTAACTCTGACACTTAGTACCAGTGCCCCCTGACTTGCAGGACTGTTGGAGATGAAATGAGCCAGTGTGCACAAAGTGCTTATCAGAGACTTCACCCAGAGCAAGTACTTAACAAATGGTATAACCTGCTCACCGTTTTCCCTTCAGACAACATATAAGTTCAAAAATAGAAAGAAAAAATATCCGAACGTGGTCACCATCTCCATGACTATTTTTCTGTCACTAACGTTACCAACCATTAGCCAACTTTGGAAATTATGATTATGTGTGCTTGTTCCTAAGAGAAGACACGTAGGAAGTAGATACAAATGCCATCCGTCCAGGAGCCAGGTTAGAGAAAAGCCTAGGGAGAAACAAGTCATGGGGAAAGGCCAGGATATATGGCGGAGAATGCCTTGAGTTCCACTCCAGGGCACGACTGCCAACCTTTCCAACAGGGAAGAATTGCTTCTTTTGGCCCCACCAGGTAGGAATCACGTCTCAAGCAGTCGACCCTTATAAGAAACTTGTACTCCAGATTATTCGAAGCTCGTTGAAAGAAATGTGTCCTTAGCCACCTCATGTAAATAGTGGTCAGTTCACCAGTGATGAGGTGAAATGATTCAGGACAATGTAAAAGAAAAAACAATAAACAAAATGCAAAGAAACACATTCCTGCATATAGTCATCTGTCTTTTCATTACTCTGCCATCATTTTTTTTTATCATCTGTTTGGCCACTTGATCTTAAATTACATTTCCCTTTCTCTTTTTGGTGTATGTGATCTGATATGTGAATTATATGAAAGATTGGGCTAACTACATATATCTTAGAGCTTGGCATTCTCGGAGAACTAGAATTATTAAACATGAAGAATTCCCCAAAGACTCCATTATGTGTAATTAACAGATAAACTGTCATCAGAATCAATAAAACGTGCTAAATGATTCAAACTTGTATATAATTAAGTGTCTGTTTTAGAGCTAGAGCTGTAACTTATTTTTCCCCCTACATCTCGCATTTCTTGCAAGAATAACTGTGGCAACCCCGTTAACCCTTTCCTTGCTTGATTGGATTAGGTTTTTAAATTAGTCACTTAAGGGCAGAGTTCACCTTCACAAATGCGGAAATATTTCAGAACTCATTAATTTAAAGACTTCCTTGGTTTTTCAGTACAGAAGTACACTGTGTAAGGATCTTTTAATGAACTACTAACAGTATGTTAAAAATCCTAAAAGGATAAGCAATTTATTGTGGTTTCTTTCTTTTTTTTTTTTCCCTGAGGAAGATTTGCCCTGAGCTAACATCTGTGGCAAATCTTCCTCTGTTTTGTATGTGGGCTGCCACCACAGCATGGCCACCAACCAGTGGTGTAGGTCTGCATCCGAGACTGAACCCAGGCCACCGAAGGAGAGCACACCTAACTTAACCATCAGGCCACTGGGGCTGGCCCTCTTGTGATTTCTGTACAGTCTAAAACCAGAGTAATGTTAGATTCAGTGTACTTACGTGGAATTCTTAAAATAGTAGTCATCAACCTTTTTCTTTCCTTTTGTGAAATATGGGCTTTTTGAGGGCAAGATCAGAATTTTATACAACCTTTACCCCCACGGCACTTAGAATAATACTTTTAATAGATGGCCTTCCATAATTGTTGAATGAATGAATAAATACATAAGTGAGATAATGAATAAAACAGCCAAGTTTGTAATCTGTGAACAGGAAGTCTTTTCTTGCTCAGTTTCAGGAGGGAAAAACCCGTGTGTTTTAAATAATGTATCTTCCATGGTAAGTCCCATATTCTAAATCATTATTGAAAATTATCTACCATAGTGAAATTTAGAAAAAAAAAATAGAGATTTTGGCAATGCGAGACTCTCTGAGCAAATCACAGCTTTGAGATGTTCAAGAATAACATTTAACTTTCTTAGCTCTAATCTACATGGGTTTATTAGTATTAATATTATTGTTGGTCTTTTCTTGCTCTGTTGGACAGACTCCATGCACATAGAAGATGTCGAAGCCGTCCAGAAGCTTCAGGATGTCTTACATGAGGCCCTGCAGGATTATGAGGCTGGCCAGCACATGGAAGACCCTCGCAGGGCTGGCAAGATGCTGATGACTCTGCCACTGCTGAGACAGACCTCTACGAAGGCCGTGCAGCATTTCTACAACATCAAACTCGAAGGCAAAGTCCCTATGCACAAACTTTTTTTGGAAATGCTGGAGGCCAAGGTCTGACTAAAAGCTTCCTGGGCCTTCCTATCCTGCACGCTGAAAAAGGGAAACTAAACCCAAGGATGATGTCGAAGAAACTTAGCGTTTAGTTAACAACATCAGAAATCAACAAAGACTGCACTGATAAATTAGCAGCAAGACTATGAAGCAGCTTTTAGATTCCTCCAGATCCTCCTTATGCATTTCTTTTTACCTTATCGCATCTTCTTTTCTCCTTTTGTTTTCTCATTCTTTTCCTTTTTGTTTTTTTTCCCTCCCTCCCTTATTCCTTCTCTCCCTCATTTCTTGGCTTCCTCCATTACCAGTTGCCTCTCTCCCTCCTTTCTTTTCTTCCTTCCTTCCTTCCTTTCTCTCCTCTTTGCATCTCTTCTCTCCTCCATCTTTTTGCCTCCTCTCCCTTTCTTCTAAATTTTAAATAGCTCTAGTTGTAAGAAAATTTCTCGTCCTTGCCTTTTCTTTCTTTGCTCTTACTCCTTCCTCCCTTCCTTCCTTCCTTCTGCTGCTGAACTTCTAAAAGAGGTCTCTGATTGAAGAGAAATGGAAGCCAGCCCTGCCAAAGGATGGAGATCCAGAATATGGATACCAGTGAACTTATTGTGAACCATCACGTCCCCAGTGACTAAGGAATCAAAGAGAGAGAACCAACAGACCTAAAAGTACAGTGCAACATAACGAAATGACTGAGTGCAGTATTAGGTTTCATGGGAGCGGCCTCTAATTAGACAACCTAAGCCACGTTGCATCGGCTGCTTCTTATCATTGCTTTTCCATCTAGATCAGTTACAGCCATTTGATTCCTTAATTGTTTTTTCAAGTCTTCCAGGTATTTGTTAGTTTAGCTACTATGTAACTTTTTCAGGGAATAGTTTAAGCTTTATTCATTCATGCAATACTAAAGAGAAAAAAAGAATACTGCAATTTTGTGCTGGCTTTGAACAATTATGAACAATCATGAAGGACAAATGAATCCCGAAGGAAGATTTTTAAAAATGTTTTGTTTCTTCTTACAAATGGAGATTTTTTTGTACCAGCTTTACCACTTTTCAGCCATTTATTAATATGGGAATTTAACTTACTCAAGCAATAGTAGAAGGGAAGGTGCATATTATCACGGATGCAATTTATGTTGTGTGCCAGTCTGGTCCCAAACATCAATTTCTTAACATGAGCTCCAGTTTCCCTAAATGTTCACTGACACAAAGGATTAGATTACACTCATAGTGACTCCGAGTAGTCACGTCTGTCAGTTCTGCACATGGAATACAGATCCATAGAATTATCAGGAATGCATCTCTTTTCCTGGAAGGTACAGTTGCCATATGATTTCTAGCTGCCACCGTGGTTAGGAATGAGATACTGCCTGTTTGCAAAGTCCCATACCTTGTCCCAGAAGGAGCTGTGAGCCAGTCTAAGAGGCAATAAGGCAAATGCCAGAATTTGGGGAAAAACAAAAAAAGTCATCAAAGACAGCAGACGCCTGACCAAATTCTAAAACCTAATCTATGAGTTTATTCATTTAGGAATGTTTGTTTAAATTAATCTGCAGTTTTTACCAAGAGCTAAGCCAATGTATGTGCTTTTCCACAAGTATTGTCACAGCAAGAAAGTCAGTCAGGTTCCAGACTGTTAAGAGGTGTAATCTAATGAAGAAATCAATTAGATGCCCCCGAAATCTACAGTCGCTGAATAACCAATAAACAGTAACCTCCATCAAATGCTATACCAATGGACCAGTGTTAGTAGCTGCTCCCTGTACTATGTGAACAGTCTTATTCTATGTACACAGATGTAATTAAAATTGTAATCCTAACAAACAAAAGAAATGTAGTTCAGCTTTTCAATGTTTCATGTTTGCTGTGCTTTTCTGAATTTTATGTTGCATTCAGAGACTGTTGTCTTGTTCTTCTTGTGGTGTTTGGATTCTTGTGGTGTGTGCTTTTAGACACAGGGTAGTATTAGAGACAATATTGGATGTACAATTCCTCAGGAGACTACAGTAGTATATTCTATTCCTTATCCGTAATAAGGTTCTTCCTAATAATAATTAAGAGATTGAAACTCCAAACAAGTACTCATTATGAACAGATACACATCAAAATCATAATAATATTTTCAAAACAAGGAATAATTTCTCTAATGGTTTATTATAGAATATCAATGTATAGCTTAGAAATAAAACTTTGAATATTTCAAGAATATAGATAAGTCTAATTTTTAAATGCTGTATATATGGCTTTCACTCAATCATCTCTCAGATGTTGTTATTAACTCGCTCTGTGTTGTTGCAAACTTTTTGGTGCGGACACAAACTATTGCTACTTTGTGTGCTTTAAACAAAATACCTTGGGTTGATATTTCATCAACCTCGTGCTAGGAATACTGTGTATCTATCATTAGCTATATGGGACTATATCGTAGATTGTGGTTTTCTCAGTAGAGAAGTGACTGTAGTGTGACACTAGATAAATCATCATTAGCTATTCATTCAGATGGTCAATAACTTGAAATTTATAGCTGTGATAGGAGTTCAGAAATTGGCACATCCCTTTAAAAAGAACAACAGAAAATACAACTCCTGGGAAAAAAAGGTGCTGATTCTATAAGATTATTTATATATGTAAGTGTTTCAAAAGATTATTTTCCGGAAAGTTTGTGCAGGGTTTAAGTTGCTACTATTCAACCACACTATATATAAATAAAGTATATACACTAGATACACTGTTTTCACTGTATCACATTCAAGTACTTGGGCTTCAGAAGTAAGAGCCGGCCAACTGAAAACAAGAGATGGAGATATATGTGAGAAGAACGTAGTACAATTTTTAGTTTTCAGTTTAAGTGACTCTCGGCATGACAAAGAACAAGTCTCACAAATAGGAAATACAACTAAAATGTAGGTCTAAAAGAATTGCACGGGCTTTGGGGTAAATGCTCAGTTTTAACCTTGCTTGAGGTCAGTTTTTTCAAGTTTCAAGCAAGACCATTTACTTAATGTGAAATTTCGGAAAGTTACAAAGGTGTATGTTTCAGCCATATGATTTTAATTCTTATTTCGCTTCTTTTAGGTTTGTTCTTATTTAAAGCAATATGATCGTGTGACTCCCTGTAGTTACACTCGTGTTTCAATCAGATCAGATTGTTGTATTTATTCCACTATTTTGCATTTAAATGATAACATAAAAGATATAAAAAATTTAAAACTGCTATTTTTCTTATAGAAGAGAAAATGGGTGTTGGTGATTGTATTTTAATTATTTAAGCGTCTCTGTTTACCTGCCTAGGAAAACATTTTATGGCAGTCTTATGTGCAAAGATCGTAAAAGGACAAAAAATTTAAACTGCTTATAATAATCCAGGAGTTGCATTATAGCCAGTAGTAAAAAGAATAATAATAATAATAAAACCATGTCTATAGCTGTAGATGGACTTCACATCTGTAAAGCAATCAATTGTATATTTTTGTGATGTGTACCATACTGTGTGCTCCAGCAAATGTCCATTTGTGTAAATGTATTTATTTTATATTGTATATATTGTTAAATGCAAAAAGGAGATATGATTCTGTAACTCCAATCAATTCAGATGTGTAACTCAAATTATTATGCCTTTCAGGATGATGGTAGAGCAATATTAAACAAGCTTCCACTTTTGATTGCTCTTTTGTATTGTGTTTTTCTTTTCCCCACTAAAGAACCGAATCAATAAACACTGCCCTTTGTTGCTCCCATTCAAAGAGTATCTCTGAGTACCTGTTCCCTAAAAGTAAAGTCGGAGTTTAAATAAGAGCTATAGAAAGACTTGTCAGAATGAATTCTAGGGCGCCAAGAGACATTTTGCATATTTAAGAGTATGCAAAGTGTCTCATGGCACATTAGAATTCATTCTGACAAGCCTTTATATAGCTCTTATTTAATCTTAAAGCATCTCCCATCATCCTGCGTTACTCAAAATCATTGCCTCTATGTCAATGTCATAACAGAAAACTTTCCCCCTATTTTAAGATCATATTAAAATCTGCTAGAGATACCTATTATTTCGCTCCATCCACAATTAAATCTTGCGCTTGCAGTGAGGTCGGCAGCAAGCTGCAGGCTTGGTGGAGCAGCAGTGGAGTTGCTGACCAGGTTTCCTGAATGGAAGTCAGCAGCAGAGCTTATAGATCGGTGTGCGTGGGGAGGGGGAGCTGTCTTCGGATTCAAGAGGGTTAAACAGCACTGCTGACAGCAAATGGCTTCCCCTTGCCTATTTCACTGGGAGAGGTTACAGCCCTTGCTGCCCAGGGTCAAGCTGCGCTTCCACTGGACGCTCCTGGAGCCATCACCGAGGTGCTAATATGTGCCTTCTTGGCTTCTCTGCCTATCTTCAGAGTGTTTTGTCATTGTGTTTGCCCACCGTATTTCTCACCTTTCAGAAGTGTCTGGTTCTCTTGAGAAACAAGCTGATGACACAAAGGCCACGAAACTGAATGGGATTTAGCGGCATGAGATTACGTAAATCACTAAGATGCACTAGCCGGCGACGTAACTCAGAGTTGTCTTTTCCTATTTTAATATCCTCTGAGTGGAAATAGCTCAACGTAGAATCGGACATGGTTGACATTTGATGTTTTCAAAGTACTTGGGTGGAGCTGAGATGATGCAAGATACAAACCTAAAAAGAGATTGTGTCTGTAATCTTTCAATGAGGTCCTCGTTTAAAAAGTGTATGTTACGCACACGTGCTTTTAAGAATTTACATGTTAGAGTTCTCTTGCTGGTTTTCATAATTTAGAATTATTACAGAGTATGTTTCTGGTCCTGACATAGCTATCACGGATGCCTCAGGTGTAAAACAAATGACAAAGTAGGATTTCGACATTTTAGCGTGTTGTATTTGTCAATATATAAACAGCAAATAGCTGTGACAAATGGGTTGTATTTGTGTCGAGATCGCTTGTATTTTCACCTGTTGCTTATAAGTGACTTTTTTTTTTCTTTAAACTAGTGGTTCCCAAGCTTGGCTGCATATTGGAATCATCTGAAGGCTGTTAAAAATTCTGATGCTTCTATCCCACCCACCCACAGGAGATTGGGGTTCCATTGGTCTGAGATGTGGCCTTGGCTTTGAAATACTTGAAAAAAAATCTCCAGGTGATACTAATGTGAAGACAAGATGAGGAAACCATTGCTTTTAACTTTTACAAATTTCTCAAACAAGATGAGAATGTTCTAAAAAATAAAAAAACTTTTCAAATGTTGGCTCTGAGTTTTTGTGAGGATTTTAGACTGTGTTTTTTTAATCTCAAGACAAAAGACAACTTTTTTTTTTAGTTACAAACCAATGAAATAATCTTGGATTGTTTTGACCTCTACTTCCCCCCACCCCATTCTCACCCTTCCCATCGCCATTCTTCCCCAGCACACACGGAGAACACATTTTATTTGATGACTCCCAAGCCACATCTTTGGTTACAGCCCACATATCTATGGAGATACCTGTTCAAAACCTTGGGCAGAATATCTCAAAATCTTTCTTACTTTTAATCCTGCTCATTTGCCCTTTTGTGTGCTTTAAAATTAGTTTAGGTGTGGTTCCAAATACCTGTTTTTCCCTTCTAAAACCCAAAATTAGAACAAAATTGATTTCTTGGAATGACTTCTCTTACCTGTATTTTCCAAGTTGCTGATTTAGGTAAGAGGTAGAAATGAGATAGAATATTTCATTCTTGGGCCTATGCAAAAACTTTAGGTACACTTCACTTATTAAGAAATTTAATTTGTGATTAAAATGTAAGAGAAAAGAGAAATGTGCTTGAGGTTTTTTAATCATTCACAATGGTTTACAAACTGAATGGCTACGTCCGTAGTCCAATAGATAGAGAAGTGTTTAAATCAGTGTTTCTAGCCTTTTCAGAGAGTCTAGCTTCGAGCTCCTTGGTAGCGTGGTAGCGTGGAAAAAACAAAATGAAACAAGTAGCAGTAGATGGATTGCACGTTGCATCTTATTATGAAACAAAATAGAAAAGAAAGGAATTTCAAAATATAATCCCCCTTTCCCAGGAGTATTTGTCTTGTTCTCCATGAAGTTAAAGGTCTGAAATAATGTGCCCATCACGGGCTCAATGTTGCATGTCCATGCCAGTTGGTCCAGGGGCTTGTTATGATGGTAATGACCTACTGCAACGTGAGCTTGGATTGCAACAATACGATTGCTACCAGCTCACCCGCTGGGAGAAATATTTTATTATTGTCAAATGTCCTCCATAGAGATTTGTTTTGCCTGTTCCTGTTTAAATTAAATTCAAAGCAGAACTGCATTACTATTTCTCCGGAGTATATTTGAGATAAACAACTAGTCTTGAAATTTAGGATTCCTGGCTAGTTCAAATTTGTTTATTAGCAGAAAAATTACAATAGGTGACACCATAGCGGCAGGAATATTATGATTGCAGCCACACAAGAGATTTATGTACTGAGTCCATGGCCTAAAAGCAAAAGAATTCCTTTTTCCATTACAGATGCCAGCCAGATTAATAATTAACTCTTCCATCAATTGTACAGCCTTAAAAAAAAGATGTCTCATATACTAAACGCATCGCCATAACATGCCACAGGATTTTGGACGTGAGAAAATTTGCTCCGAGTAAGAAGTGTTTTTAAACTTAAGATCATAAACCAAATGTGTGTGTGTAAAAATATTTTTAAACAGCAGCATAATGGACATAGCACAGAAACCCAAAGCGTGAATGAAAACGCTCTTGAGTGCAATATACTTTTTCCAGTATTATTTTTTAAAAGAATTGAAAAGAATGTTCTAGAATATAAGGAGTCATTTGGATCATTTTGCCAAAGGCCCTATGATGCAGCTTTGACAAAGGATTCTGAGACAGTGGCGTTTTAGTCAATACAAATTTTGTTACATTCAGTCAAATTAGAACTGGACCTTATGCTACAAAAAATGCCTGTTAACCTTAGTGAAAATTGTAGTGGCCCGTGTGTTTCATAATGGACCGAACTTTGGTGAGCTGGTTTTGGGAAATGCAAACAAACTGTTGGGAGGGGCTGCTAAAAGGGCCTAACAGGAAAACATTCAGACTAGCAGAAGCATCAAATCACGCCATTCACACTCCGGTTCCAGCTGCCACGCTCAGTCGAATTTCACAGTTTTGTTGGGAAGTGAAGAACTGGCTGCTATTAGAAACAGCAGCACAGAAAACTCAGGTCCGAAGAGCTATTTCCAAAACCAGATCTAGAGCTCTGTAAATGTTGGCTTTTTTCCTTTAAAATACATGATTTCATATCATAACAAATAAAAAATACTAAACATTAATGTCTTAAAAATATCCTGTAGATATTTTTGTACTAATGTCTCTGAGATTCTTTTTCTGCACTAGACTTTTATTTTGCCTTGATTTTCCTTTAGTGAACAAAATGAATTGATTGGCCTTGAATATCACCTTTATGCTTATAAATCACGACAGGTTTTTAACTGTAGGTATTGAAAAAAAATCCCTTCCTCCACAGAAATAATATATAGTTGAGAGTAATTCCTGGGCTGGGTAATAAGTAAATGATGTTTAGATATGAGGATGTTTTACACACAAGGATTTATTTCCATGGCATGTGACTTCCTTATGGTTCTGGTTTGATAAGATTTGATGGTGCTGAAATAGATGGGAAAATGATCACGAGAAACAGCACGCCATACTAGTTTCAGGAGTGGACTTCAAGTCCGTTATCCATGCATTCAAATCTCAGGTCTGCCACTAACCAGCTATGTGACTTTGCTAATAAAGCCTATTCAGTTTCTATAAATGGGGATAAATATACTATTAAAGGATTATTGTTAGAGTTAAATTAGATAATTTAAGGAAACACCTTGTAGTTAACAAAAACATTTAATATGGTGACAATTAATTTTATTTCTGTTCTTTTTTTCCTTTCCCCAAAAGAGCCTAGATCAGACTCCAGAAAATCCAATTGAGACTGGGAAAAAAAGTCATTAGGGCTGAGGGAAAATGTGGATCTTTTAGATCCAGATGCATTGGAGCTTCTCTTGCGTGGACAACGCTGACACAGTCCAGAGTCAGCGTGGATGTGGCTATGTGCCGTTTCAGGTTTGGCCAGAAACCAGTCATGGACCTAACTATGTTCTGGGCCCTATGCGAGTTCTCTGAATGCATTATAAAATTTATAGTTCACCACAGCTTTATGAGGTAAGCACCTTTAATAACTCCATTTCATAGATGAAGAAAAAGAGGCTCCCAGAAGTTAAATATGTTGCCCAAGGATCATACAGTTAATACGCAGCTCAATTAAATTTGAATCCAGTGTGTCTAGCTCCTGATCCTAATATCTTAAAACACTAACCCTGTATTTAACAGTTTCTCAAAATTGAATAATAGATCTTTTTTCTTATTTGGACATACGGGGCACAGGGTTGAATTCATTCCATTGCTTAGATCAAGGATTTCTGTCCTCAATCCGTGCTATTACCTTCATTTCCTTCCTCCACCATAAGTCTCATTGTGAATCCTTGGAAAGTAGATAATGTTGGTTTGTGCATCTAAGAATTTTCATATGCAGAAATGGTGCTGTGTTGACTATCTTGTTCGGTTTCTTAGTTTTTACTCTACACTAGATTTTTAAGATTTATCCATCTAAAACAGGAGGA